AAAGCAGTAGGCACACACCAATGTCTGCACCTGAGGAGAAGGGCCTGCTGCCTGGCGGGCTGGCATGGCAGTGCCCAAGACACAGTCTCAAAAAGGCCTGTTGTAGACTTTCACAAAGAAATTCTCACACAAGACTGTAAATGAATAGTAATCTTTCTCCTGCCTTATTTTTAAGTGATAAAAAAGTGGGAAATTGATTATTGCTATAGAAGAAAGTCATCTTTGTAGTTTTGTTTTTCTATTGACAAATTGAATTGATTCTTACATTTGCTATTCTTATCCTTTGCTGGCTAAAGCCTGCCTCTCTGCTTTACACCTGCTCAGCAAACCAAGGTGAGTGGCACCGAGTGACTGAATAAGGCTTGGGCACCTTTATTGTTAAGGGGATGTTCCTTTTCTTAGAAAAGTGCAGCTGAAGTATATCTAAAGCAGCAGATTATCTTATGCCCTTTCTCTCCCTCAGCTTTGATATTTCGATCAAATTTTTTGTGCTCTGCTGTGACTGAGGGATTTTCCCCTGACTAGCCATACAGAACCGTAAATGTGTAAGAGAGGTGCGTTTGGAGAGCAGCTGCGGTCCTCGATGGAGTTGTTGCCAAAATTCCTTTTTCTCCTGCCATTTTACTTCTGTGGTTGTTGATTATTTGTCTGAATAAATCTGGCAGCTGTTTGCTATGTTTAATAGAGCAGAAAGGCTACTCTGAATAAAGCTATTTGAAAATTTGTTTATATGAAGTATTTGTAAATCCTTGCAAGTCTCTTGGCATTTCTGTATCATTCTTTCTGTCTTCCTGAATTCATTCTTTGATACGAGACTTGATGCTGGCAAATTTACCACAGGTTTGAAGAGTATTTTCAATAGCATCCTTTTAGTTATAAATTTCAGCTGATTTGGTAATAGAGGTCTCAATTCTCAACTTTACACATGTATCTGTTTGTTAATCAAGGAAGAGGTTAGCTTATTTCATAAGTTACCTAGAAATGACTCACTAATTAAAAATATTAAATCAGAATAAAAGTCAGTGTTCTTAATTTTTATTACAGCGAACTTCTGGAAGGCAAAATGCCACTAAAGTTAAGAACTGTCTGTGTGTGTCATTATTATGCTAGTTTTAATATATATTTCTACTTTAAAGAAAATGAATTTCTTAATATCTCATTTCACAGGACATTTATCTTAAGACTAAAGAAATGCATTAAATGTATTATTTTGGATTTAGCTGAAAAATATAAATAAAAAATGAGAAATTTTATATTAAAGATGTACATAATTAAAATGTGTGTATAATAAATAAGAATCCTTGTAAGAGATTATACTTATTATATTAACATTTTTTAAATGAAAAAGTTTTGTTTCTAATATACAGCCTGATCTGTCACTTTTTCTTGATTGTTGCATTTAAATTTTCATGGCTAAAGATGCATGTTTATAATGTTGATAGTCAAAGTGCTAAATGAAAGATTGTCTTATCCTGCATATTAATATTATTCATATTCATAACATTCATATCACAAGCCTTAACCAGAGCATGATTTTTTCATAGCTTTCTTTGAGTTTTGAGTCTTGCACAGTGAGTTAATGATCTAGCTGTGGAATGATTTCAGTGCTATAAATAACATGAGATCTCTCTTTTACTTAAAAAAATTTTAATTTAGTGTCTTGGGGCAGTCTTAATTTAAGAGACCTAAGCCAATTGCTTATTTCAAACTGCTCTCTATTCATTTTGTTTCTTATGAATTAAATTGGAAATCTAAAACTTAGGGAAAAAATTTTATTATTTGGTTTGCTAAAATTTTAGCAGTTAATTACAACCGATTAACCTAAGTTAAGTGCTGTCCACTGCCTCACCAAAATTTAGATAAATTCTAATGAAGCAACAAATTCTATAGTTTGACAATTTTTAAATATTTTCCAGTAACTTTACCTTTATTATGTATGAGCAGGCTATCTGTGTAAAGTCGTTTTCATAGGAGAAACTTTTAATGATACCTTGGCATTTTCTTTCTTGTTAATTTGAGAATACCTGATATATTTTCATTTAGAAAAATCTGTGGTATAAGAAATCTAGAATGTTTGCTTAATTTTATTATGATTTATGTCTCCATCTTACGGGTTCCTAGCTAGCAAGATGCTAATTCTTTAAATGGTCAGACATTTACTATTTTCTGGCCCTTAACTACCACAAGCAATCATATTTGATGCCCCTTAATTAGAGCCCCTTTTTCCTTTCCAGGTTCCTTTCCACCTCAGCAATCGAGACAATGCATTTGCTTACCATGCTGCTCTGCTAAGTGTTCTTTTGCATGTAAATTAATCTTGATTCAGTTTACACTGTCATGCTGAGTGGTACAAATTGCCTATAACAATAAAACAGCATGAGTTAAAAATAAAGGAGGGTGGGAAGGCAGATTGAATGTGTGCCTTACTTGATAGGATGTTACTTTGCTTTATGCCAATACATTAGCTGACGATAATGAATCTTCTGTTCTGAAAAGCATGGTTTAGTTGATTTTTTTAATTTTACTTCAATGGAGCAGTACCTTGTCTTTTATAGACCAAGTTAGACAAACCATTAATGACAAGAGTGTTAAGGTTAAATATGAAGCAATGCATTCACTTCTCTGAGTGCTATCCATCTTTCCATTTACAGGAGCTTGACAAAAGTACTGGCTTTGTACAACATTTCCTTTAATTACATGCTGCGGGAAACAGGCTTTTAACATAAACATAGTTGCATTCATTTGTTCAGCAGTTGCTCTTCAATAGAGCTTAATGGAGAAGGTTTAAATCCTAAATGAGCACACACATCTCTCAGCAGCGTTATGTCAGCAGCCACTGTGCTTGGCTTAAAAGCAGTGTTTGACTGCTTGTGTCATTTTTAAAGCTTTTGCCTAATATTGAAGTTAAACAACCTAAGACAGAACACAGTGTCCTGGGTTTGAAAGTGGTTAGTAAAAACTGTTCTTTGTTAAAGCTAGATAGGTCTTTCTACAGTGTTAGGCTTTAGTGTCTTCATACTACTGATTACAGGGATTTTAAAAATTGGGGGGTTGCATTTGCAATAAATAACTACATGGCTCTGAAGGTGCAGGGTCTTTTGAAAACATGGAATCAAATTTTACCATTTTCATGCATTTTGTAAACTATTGTACATATATCATACATCTCAGAAGATTATCATTTTTAGTAGATATCATTGGGTGTCCGTGATTTATATCACAGATCCAGATTATTTGTTTATTTTAACCTAAATTTCATTATTTGTTCCAAGTGGTATGTTATTGAATTTGTTCACTGAACATTTTTACATGAGATTTTGATATTAATGGCATGTCTTGTATTAAGTCTGTATGGTTTTGTTCATGATTTTGCTTAACTTAGTTTCTTCCTTAAATACTCTTTGAAATGTCTCTGGGATTTAAAGTTTTCCATTCACATTTTTCCTTTGTTTTCAGTGTTTTGCTTCAGAAATTTCAATTGGTGTTTTGTCAGCAACTGTAGTACCATTCACTAGCAAATACTAAGTGTAGCTTAGCTACGCATACTACTACATTTTTTCGAACCTGTTGAGGGACTTTCAATCATTGTTGAGATAACTTTGACCCATCACATTGAGGCCATGCATCAGGTAATGCTGCTGGTTATTTCAGAATCACTTTGATTTGTTCTCAAGCAGCATTTGGCAAGAGAGATGTTTACATGAAAATGAGAGGAAAAATTCTTTAAAAGTAGAAGCTTAATAGTTTACATCAGCCAAATTAATTCACTACATTTTAAAGGGACTGAAATTGAAATTTCATTTTTGTGATTCTAAGTTTTTATCATATAGTATTTAAAATCATATTTATTAAGAGTGATGTTTGACTGTATTTTTACACATTTTCCTACACAATAGATTTTTAAAATTCTGAAACAGTTGCAGTTCATTTTAATTTTATGGGAATTGTCTTGTAAATTACATCCTGGTGGGTTTTGTTTTGGTTTTTTTTAAAAGAAGTTTACATTTTGGCTATGAGCATTAAATTGTTTTAATATAATTTTCGTAAAATAATTAGTTACAGGGGCCTTCTTTTGCTCTTACAGGAATGCTGACAGGAATGAATGAAACTTCTACTGTAATCATCCTTGCACCACAGAACTTCACTTCTTCTGTGATCCTTCAGAAGATTGTCAATGTGGCCAACGTCGGTGTAGTGCCTTCTGGCCAGGATAATATTCACAGGTAGGTGCACCAACACAAGTTGAGGGGATAAGTTATGTACATGTATAAATATATAATTTTCAATTCATAATTTTTCTTGAAAATAACCCCTAACTATATATATGCCCCCCCTTTTTTCTTATGATATATTTGATTGATTGATTTGGGGTTAGGTTCTCTTTCCTATTTCATACAATCCTTAGCACATTGGCATGTAGTACTCTCCTGAAAGATACAGATAGTGTGCCTGCATTTTATAATAGCTTGGTGGTTTGCAAAGGTACCTTTTGAGATATGGTTGAGAATTTATCTTAATTCCCCAGATTCAGTGGATTTCTAGGAAACACTGTTTTACAAAGCAGTGGAGTTGGCCTTTTTTACTTGAAAGAGAAGCTTGGGTACTACATACAGATTTCCTTTTGATAGCAGTCCCCTATGGCTGCTTCCAGGATTGAGGAGTGGCTAGAAAACCAGTATAGGGCCAAATGCAGCTTCTGTTTCTTAGCCCAGGAATATCTTCACCACCAACCATCGAAAGCATGAGATCCAAGTCACTTGTCCTTAAAAGTAGCAGAAAATGTAATTGCCCTTTTTGTGTTCTTATGAGTGCCTGTGGCTTGAAATGAAAGTTAAGATAACCCCTTGTTACTTAGTTCTCTGTGAGCTTATGGGAATTCATTGCACACCGTCTGTAATTTCTCTGCCATTCCTCTGCAATGTCATACGTATGCTATTTTATTTATGTATATTAAATTTAAAATTAAAGGGAATGCCGTCTGACCTTAAAAAAATTTAATTAACATAGGGGTAAAGAGGTCCCATATAGAGAGTCCTACAGATGATCAGGTTTTAGACTGAGCTCTGCCATTATTGGGTTTGGTAATCTTGTGCAAGTTATAACTGCTCCTTGTGGACTTTAATCTCCTCATCTGTTTGGAAATGGTGGCAAGCAAAAGACGGGTGATTGGAATGAAATTCTATGGTATCTATGAAGGAACACGGGACTTGACAAGAGCTGAGTTCAAGTCTTGATCTGCCATTATCCAGAGTTACCTAATTTCATCTACTAATCATGACAGAATGAAAACTGCATGTGCTAATAAAAAAAAAAAAAAAACAAATTTACTTTGTACTTTTGGGGTTTTTTTAAATTTCCTTTTTCTTTTTTTTGAGAGGAGGGTCCTTAAGTTGCTCAAAAGATCTGATGCTTCCATTTCTTAATTTATGATAAGCCCTATCTTTCCCACAGGGCTGGGACAAAGTAATAAAACTGATCTAAGGTAATCATACTGGTGCTACCAAGCAGATACAATTTATCTGTCAGTTAATGTTGTTCAAGAGGGGAAACATGAATAGAAGCCTTTTCAGTGAAAATATTTTGGTTCTGAATTTTCCTGTTTTAATTCTTTTCCACCTTAAATACTTCCTCTCCTGGATGATTTTCTCTAGCAGAAGTTGTTCTGTTTAATTTATGGATCCTTATTAAAATTACTAAAACATCAAATGTCATATCAACTGTAATTTTTAGCTTATGCGGTAACAAATTTTACCTGACACATCTGGTATCCCATAATACGTCAGACCTGTTTTAATATGTCCTATCGTAATTTACAAAAAGACACAGGGTAGCCCTTACTTACTTTGGAACCTCTAATTTAGTTTTTGTTTTGTTTTTGTATGTGTGTTTGTAAGTTTTCCGAAAGCAGTGGCAGCTTTCTAGGTATCTGTTTCTTAAAAGAAAATAGCCACATTACCTTCTCTAAGGCAACTAATATGAAAGCCATCTTCTTGTTGAGAAATGGACTGAGAAAGACACTGAGAAACGGACTGAGAAAGACACTTCTATAATTCTTATTAAAGGATAGTTTGCCTATGACTTGTCGTGGTGGTTTGGAACTTAATGCCTGCTCAAAACATTAAATTATAGTCAATTCTCAATTATCCATACTAATGCAGGAGAGGCACATAACAGAGAACCATTTATTGGCTTTGGAATGCAGAGATTGCACTCAAACAATGCTCTTGGTCCTTGCAAACATCCGCAGTGTCAACCCTTTTCTAATCCAGCCCTATCATCAGCAGCCTGGGTTTGGCTCTGTAACTTGGGGGAGGAGCTCAAGTTACTGCAGAGTCAAAAGTGAATAAAATGCATGTATCTAATTAAGAATAGGCTGTGCAGTCATAACTTGCCTCACAAGTCTCATCAGACTTAATTGAAAATGCTTTTATAGTTAAACTATAGTTAGCATAATATTCTAAATTTCAGTAAGTTTCCAGGTAATAAACATATAGACTGATTCGTATTTTTCACACAGAAATAGATAAAAATTATTAGCTTGCATATTTAACATTTTTCTATTTTTATACTCAGTAATAATTAAAAATTGTCAATAAAATCTGTACCAATATATTTCTTAATTGCATTTAAAATGAAATAAGTTACTGTTTATATTATGACAGAAATTTACATTTTGTCACTTTATTGAATTAATGTTTTTAACAGTAGTTTCAGTATTCTATTACCTTGCGAGATTAATGCGTTTATATATCTAAATAAGTTATATATTATTTAACTGTTAATAATAAAATTTAAATCCCTATAAGATTTCTGAGTGCCTCCTTAATTCTTCTGTGATGGTTGTTTTTTTGAGTGTATGAAGAGTAGGACCAAAGCCATTCCTGTAGTTATTAATGGTAATCCATTTAACATTTAAAAAACGAGTATAAAAAGCATTCTGACTATTAGTGTTTAAGATATTAAAACTTTAGTTCAACAAATTATTTTTGACTGGCCTTTGTTCTAATTTTTCAGGATCTTTTATTTCTGAGAGAACTTTTTAATAAACATTCTTTTTGGCCATTTGATGAATACGATCCCGTTGTCTAGTTTTAGAGTAATTTATTCTTATACTACTCTTCAAAATATGAATATTTTTACATTAAATACCAAGTAAAAATACATAATACAAGAATTAGCTAAGAAAAAGTGAATCTTCATTAATATACAGGAGTGTGTAATAGTATAAAGCAGAAATTTGAATTGAATACGTAATAGAAAATGGCTACTAACACATCAACATTAATGGTCTCCATTTTAAAAAGTCAATTAAAGAAGCACAAGTTTTATGGAATTCACTTCCAAACCAGAAGCATTTCCTATATAGTTAACCACTTTTAAAGATGAATTGAAAAAGCATATCTGCTGTTAGATTATATGACATTTAGTTTTCGTTTTCTAAGTTATTAATAATATAACAAAGCTAACCAGTATACCATTGAAAAGCTTAACTTTCTCTTCATTTCTGTAGTACTGACGTGCTGATTGAAAAAGCTGCTCTTTGAGAACAAAATTATCTTATTGGGGTCTACAGAGTTATGGTCCTTATGCCAATTTGCTGTTTTCCAAAATACAGTTACCACATGATAAGGGTAATACAGAAATGAGAATTTAGAAATCAAAAAGCATTTAATAGGCAGCTGAATGTCTTAATGTCTTGTGTTAGATATTTGTGTTAAAATATATGCGATACTCTTCATTATAAAATTCTTAAGATGTATAACTTAAGACAATACTAATAAACTCCTGTGTAAATAAAACATATTCAAGAGGCAGAATGAGCAGTGATTAAACTAGTATATGAATGGACACAAGATTTAATGTGTTTTAAAAAGAAGAGATAATTAGAGAGACTAGCAGTGGGAACCTTGGCTTCATCCAGGGCCAGGGAAAAATTCTGTGCTCCTCTGAGAAGGAAATCAAATGAGGGTTGACGAAGGAGGCTTGTATTCAACAAGGTAGAAACCAGGATGCATAAAAAAAAAATCTGTTGCTTATCCTCTGACAAAGGTACCAACGCACAGTGACCAAAAAGTGGAAAGCTAAAAATCTATAGCTCTAAGGTTTTTTGGTCCAAAAAAATCATTTGGGAGCTTATGTAAAATTCGGGTTCCTAAAGCCCACACCCAAAAACTGAGATTTAATACATCTGGTTCAGGGCCCCAGAATCTGCATTTTAGCTATCACTCTAAGAAATTATACAGCAAGTGTTCCAGACTCCACAGTGTGAAGCTGCCCTGAGTTATCAAGAGTTAATGATAACCACATGACACATTTTAAGATATATTTTTCCTATGTTTATGTGTTTACTTTTTACAGATTAGTCATTATGGGGTACCAATAGGCAAGATGTTTGATTTAGGTTTTTCTTATATCTGTCCTCCAGCAAGAGAGTATATTGTTATATCATAATACCCATGAAAACAGTCTTAGACCATAAGTAAGCGTTTGTCTTTCAGCAGTCTCCACTATTTTACATTTTAACCCAGTTTCATGAATTGTGACGTTCATATACTCTAGTGTTTAAAAGCGTTGTCATGCCACCTACTCATTTGGCCCTTTTGTGAACAACAAATTGACCCTGTAAGAGGAAAATGTGATATTGAGTGAGAACAGAAAGCCTTGTCTCTGTTGACTCTATTTTACTTCAAGCTTTCATCATTAACTTGTATTCAGTACTTACATCCCTTTTCCTCCCCATATATCTTAAGCTCTGGTTTAGATTTTGTCTACCCCGTCACTTTTTTAATTTGCAGATTTTGAACATGTACAACTTGTGAGTAATTACAGTTTTCGTAGAATAAAAATGTTTTACTACTGTTACATCCTTAACTATTAGGAAAGTCTGGTGCTATGAATAGAACAGTGTATCCATGGCAACATGGCAGTCAACTTTTTAATTTATCAGCACATTTAAAGACAGTTTATTTGTTTCAGGTTTAAAATAAAAATCTTTTTGTTTAATTGAGGCACATGTAAAGAGCAACTTGTTTCATTTCCAGGCTTTAAACTCATTCAGTAAATCACTGTTATCATATACATGTTTAATGGTTACTAAAAAGGGGAATACTTGTTTCCACCCTAAAATAGCTATATTGTATAACTCCCTCATTCAGTATTTTTTGAAGAATTTTGTGACAGATTTTGCTAGTGCTAGGATTACAAATACAAGGTAGTCACTTCT